TACCACCGTAGGGCCTGGTATTTTGTCGCTCTTCTGTTTTGTTTAACGAACACGTTTACACATTCGCTTCTCACTGGACATGGCTTAAGTTTGTCCAGTGAGACTCTAGTGGCCGGAGTTTGTCAGCACACAGTTGTTGCCCCACAGTCCTGAGCCCAAACACACCCATTTATCCAGGAACACCTGCACCATGTCAAAACCACACCCAGACACACACACACACACAGACACACACACACACTGGTTAAATTGCATGCACAGATTTGTACAGGTTCATCTTGCAAGGCAATACCCTGTCGCCTGTGTACATATGCACACCCAGTTATAAACTGAGAGCAACCAAGGGACACAGCACGGGTTTACACACAATCACACATAATCACAGGTACGAACATTGTTGCCTCCATTCATGGTCTAAACACACAAACCCACAGTTATTCAAATGTTAATGCAGATGTGCACTCACATTCACACAATAGTCTCACAGGTATGTACATGTAGTTGCATGCCCAAACCCACGTTTGGATGCACACGCTGTTATCAGGCAATTTTACATCAAAGTGCTTATCTCTAGGTCCACACACAATTACACAAGCTCCCCCTCTAGGCATAAGCAAAGTTAAAGCACCTGGATGGTTAATATTAATGCTAAGGTGACAAAGAGTCACACACACACACACACACATACACACACACACACACCCCCCACACCACACAGCTGGGGCCTTGGGTGGTTCATATACATCCTCGTGTGCATACACAGATGCCAGCCCCAGGAGGGAGTACACTTCAATGACGGCCTCACCTCCTCCCTCAGAACATCCTGCTTTGAGCAATGCGAGAACCCACTCGTATGTCCTCTCCAACCTCCGGGCAGAAAAGATGGTGGATCTGAGGGGGTCGCGAGAGGAGGCCCGGGGTTGGGATGGGCTTTGGTGAGGCTGGGGTGAGGTGGCCGGCCCCTGGGGTGGGTGGCAGGGCCTCTCCACCCTCTGTATCTGGAAAGGGCCGGTTCCCAGGGTCGGAGGAGGCCCAGCCTAGGCGGGCGAGGCATTGTGGGAAGGGCCCTGGCAGAGGTTGGAGCCCTTTGGTCAGGGTCCCTGTTTTCTCTTAAATAGAGTGAAAAGTGAGGGGACTTTCTGGATAGTTTCCGGGGCCTCTCCCTCACTGCTGTAAAATCTCATTATGATCAGCCTAGATGAAAGCAGGAGGGAGTAGTAATGCACAAAAAACTTCCTGGAACACGGGAGATGAAAAGCTGGAAAGGGTCACCAGAGAGGAAGAGCTCAGGGTCCTATCCAAGGATCCTTATGAGAAAGGGTTCATTCGGGACTCTGTGACCCTGGGCTTTGAGCCAGACCTCTACACTTGGAGGCTCAGGTCTGAGGTTCTCGGGCCTCTACAACCCCGAGTCAGTGCCCAAGGCACATCTTCTGGTTCAGCGGGGAAAACAGCTGGGAGAAGAGTAGGCCAGAGAATGGCAATGTCCTCAGTGCCACTAGAGGCACCCTGGTGCCGGGTGCATCACTAGAACTCAGCAGCCAGACACAGAAGGTATTCCCAGCTGTAACAGGCAGGGCGCTGAGAATCCCTGATATCCCGGGGGTGACCAACATGCATGAGGCCAGGAGCTCATCACCTCCCCTCTGGGACCCAGTTGGCCTGGATACTTTATACCCTCACCTGACTAGGGAGGAGACCAGCTGCTCTGATTGCCCGGGGCCACATGGCTGTAAGTAGCCAAGCCGGGCCCCAGAAGCCGCATGCAGTGGGCTGGCTCCTGAGGCTGGACAGCCCCTGGGCTCTCCTGGGGCAGGACAGGAAGGAGCAGCCTCTGCTGCCCAGGGCGTGGCCTTCCTGGAGAGCCTCCAAGCCCTCAGGGACCTCCCTCTGCCCCGCTAAGGCCTCAGAATTCTCTGGGAGGAATACACACACACACACACACACACACACACACACGCACGCACGCACTCTCATACACACACACACAGCCCTGTGACAGCTTCTACATTTGGAGCTGACAGATGTGCAAGGTAACAGCTCGGCACCGCCTGTGCAGCTGAGGCCCCGCGTCAGGAGCGGGATCATTTCCAGCGAGGCTCAGGAAGGCTGCTTGAGCACACACCCGGGTGTGTGTGAGAGTGTGTGCGCGAGAAGAACGTGCATGAGTGTGTGAGAGTGTGTGTGGCTTCCTCTGCGATCTCTCTCCCTCCATCGAAATCTGTCTTACTCTATCTTCTTTTTTAAATTTATTTTTTGAACGTATTGGGGTGACCTTGGTTAATAAAATTATATAGGCTTCAGGAGGGGTCGGCTGCAGCCCTCTGTCTCACTATATTTTCTTATTTTTTCTGTTGCTGTCTGTTTCCCTGCCTGTGTTTTCTCTGTGTCTCCATCTTCCCCTCACTGTCCTGCTCATCCTGTGTGAGTCTCACTCTCGATAGGCCTGAAGGATGGAGCCCCCAAAGTTCAAGAGTAACTTTCTTCCCCCTCACTTCCTCCCATCCCCCAACCTCTCCCTGAAAACAGAAGTCCAGAGTTCTCCTTTTTCACACTACAGGCAGATAGGGCTGAGGGAGAGTATACAGAGTGCGGAAACAGGAGACATAGAGCAGGGTCGGGGGTCATGCTGGGATGTAACAATAATTCTGGGGTGGGATGGGGAGATGGGCTCTACTTCAAACACCGGGGACAGTCTCCAGGCTTGGCCCTGCCTCGCAGCACTGCAGGCAGGCAGAAGGACCTCAGGGTTGGGGTGGGGGAGCAAGGACAGCTCACCCCATCCTCTCCTCAGCCACCCTTTAACCCTTCTCCAGCTGGCCCGAGGCCCAGAGCGCTTTCAGTTAACTTGCCTGCAAGCTACCCAGTGGCCTGCTCCATTCCCACCTCCCCCACACCCCAGATCACAGAGAGATTCCATGGAGACTGGAGAAGTGTCACCCTGTGGGGTCCCCACTCTGGCAACCTCCCTGCTACCACATGGGGCCCTACTGGTGAGTGAGCACAGCTGGGCAGTCTTGGGCATGCGGCACAGGGGCATGCGTGTGCTACGTGTCTGGGCTGCACTGCAGACACGTTAGCATAGGAGGCCACATCCTGCAGGGAGAGGCTGTGGTTCACGTAAAGGAGGCCGGAGGGCAGTTTCCCAGAGCCCAGCCCCCCGAGATGAGACATGGGGAGATGCTAAGATGGAGCATGACCAGGAGGTGTGGTTCCGTGCGGGGAGGAAGGAGCAGCTGGGCACCTCCAGGCTTGGCTAACAGTGGGTTCAAGCACTAGCCTGCATTGTATTAAAAGGACAAAGGACAGGAATTAGGGGTGGCAGTGGGGGCATCTGTCCAGCCTAGTCCCAGCTGGTCATGCTTGTGGACAGAGGTGCTGGAGGTCCCTGGGGTGGGCCTCAAATATTCTCCTTACTCCCCTGCTCCTCACAGGCCAGCTGCTGGCCCCTAGCTCAGGGGTATTAAACACAAAACCAAAAAATTGCCCAGCTCATTCATGCCAAAGACAAAGAAAAGCCTTGTTTGTCTTTTGGCTAATCTGAGGCCCTGCTCGACCTGGCAGCTGGGCTCTGGGCATGTGCAGGCATGTATTGCGTGTACTTGCATGTGCCCTTGTGTGTAGTGGCCAAGGCCAGGCCATGCATTCTGGGAACACAGATTGTTAACCCTCTGGTGGGTGCCTGCTCGTGGCCCAGAGGCTGACAAGAACATCTCCCTGCCCCAGTGGCGGAGGACCTCGAGAGGCTGAGTCCAAGCCAAGGAGTGAGGCCTGGGAAATCCTTGTGACCAGTGCCCATGGGTCACTAAGGAGGCCCTGGGGCCTGCCAGGGAAAGCGATCCTGGCCCTTTATGATCTCCCAGCTCCCCCTAGAGCCCCTGAGAGCCCAGAATCCTAGAGGACAAGAAGAGAGACAGGTCTAGGGTCATTTCCAAGGCTCTTAAATCCTTGGAAGGGGGACAAGAGTCAGGCGTGAGAGGTTCTCGCCACCTTGTGGGCATGTGTGGTACTGCTCCCTAAATACTGGATAACCAGCCTGGTGGGGAGAGAAAACCTGGCTGGAACATCCATTAGGCAAGGGGATGGGCTGATGCTGACTGCCCCTAAACTTCCATGGGAGCAAGGGGCCAGGTGGAGAAATCCACCCAACACCCACCAGACAGAAGGGGCCACCGAGGCTGGCCCAGCCCCACCTGCAGAGGCAAACCGGATATCCTCAGATGCAGCCTGACCACGTTTGAAACAACTTGGAGAAAAGTTTCCAGGAAGGAGTGTTAGAGCTCATCTGTTCTAAGGAAAGTCCAGAAAGGGAGAGGACCTTCTCTCAGACCCCACAGCACCTCCATCACAGAAAGAAGTTAGACAGAGAGTTCTTGACTTCACGGTTCATTCATTTTCCCATGGGTCCATTGAGTCCAGAACAAACTGTCCAGGCTGTGAACCCCAGGCCTACGGAGGCCCAGAAAAGGAGCGGCACAGTGAGAGCTCTTGCCTCAGGTTAGCAAGGAGGGTATCTGGGCCATGGGGAAGAGATGAGGCTGCAGGGGGGCTTCAGCATGCTCTGGATATTGATATTAAAAGGCAATGACTAATATTAGCATCTATGGGGCAAATACTGTGCTTAACATTGCATAGAATGGGTTATTTAATACACTGACCCTTTGAGGAAGGCACCCTTATAACCCACATTTTTATTTATTTTTTAAAAAGTTTTATTTATTTAGAGAGAGGGGGAGGGAGGGAGAGAGGGAAACACAGATGTGAGAGAGAAGCATAGATGGGTTGCCTCTCGTATGCACCCTGACCTGGGACTGAACCCAAAACCCAGGCCAGTGCCCTGCCCTGGAATCAAACCAGTGGACTTTTGCTTTGCAGGGCAATGTCCAACCAACTGAGCCATACCAGGGCTAATCCACATCTTTTTTCATTTTTTATTTTTTTTTCTTGTTCAAATACATTTGTCTCCATTTTCCCGCCACCACTTTCCCCTGCCTCCCTACCCCCCCCCCCCATCCTTTCCCACTTTGGCTTTGTCCATGGGTCCCATCCATATTTTTTAGATGAGGAAATTGAGGCACAGAAAAAAGCAACTTGCCCTGGTTTACAGTTGGTAAATGGCAGAGCAGGAATCTGTGTATAGTGATTTTGACTCCAGTGAGTAAAAAGGCTCTGCTGAGTGAAAAAAAAGAGCATGAACTGCTTGGTCCCTTCTAGGAAACCCAGCAGGGCACTGCCAGCTCCCACCCAGGGCCTCCCTCCAGCAAAGGAGCTGTTTGGATTTCTCCAGGAGGCACGGCCCCAGTGCGCCCTCTGCTGCGCCTAAGGAGGAGCAGAGAGTTCCCTCCTGCATGATCAGACCCAGGGCTGAATTCTGCAGCTGGCTGGCAGGGACCATGCTCTCCTCCCAAATTTGGGCCAGGAAGGGGCTGGCTGGCTGTAGACCACCCCTGCAACGCTCCCAGCTTGCCCACATCTACCCACACACAAAAGGATGGGTTTGGTTCTACTCCTGGTTTCTCAGGGTTTCCCTCTCTCAGAAACTTGCCCACTTTTCCCTGTGGCATGTTGGTTCTAGGCCCACCCCTCTGAGGACCAGGACCATGGGAAAAATGGGTATTACTAGGACGGCCAACAACAGGCCACAGAGGAGGTGAGATCCATTCAGAGCATTGCCATGTGGGCAAGAGATAGAAATAGAAATCCAAGAGAGCGAGGAAAATGACCCCTCCCTGAAGGCTAGATACTATTTGAATAAGTCAAGGGTAAGGAAGGTTAGTCAAGACTAGGATCACTACAGGCAAAAGCATGAAGGAACAGGTGTCTGGGTATGCCCATCTTGGCCAACTTTGTGTGAACCTGCGTTGCCACTGGGTGGGACTCAGTGAGAAGAGGCACACAGGCCCTAGACAACTGCCCTGGAAACAAGGGCAGCATTTCCAAGTTTGGGTCAATTGCCTCAGGAACACCTCTGGCACCAACAAACCAGGGAGTTACTCATGGGCCCTGTATCAGAGGCATTACTGTGTCCAGGCATTAATAAAGGACAATTCACATTTAACTTGTATCTTCCTTTGACATGTACAAAAATGCTCAGCCTCCACTCCATCTGCAAAACAAAGAGTGGGTTCTGGTGGGAGAAGGCATTAGAATGAGGTCATGAAGTTCAACAGAAAGTCCTGCAACCCTGAGTAAAAAGCATCCCTGTGGGCCGAAACTTGCACTGTCCTTCCTCCCTGCCAGGTTATCTGTGAATCTACTCGTCCCTCCTATTTGAAATAGCTTACCCAACTTTCCCCATGGACTGGCCATGGGCATGAGACCCAACCCCCTCTCCTTAGTGTTTCAGCTTCTTGTCCTACTTTTTCCCACCCTTAAAATTATATTCCTAGAGGACACCGATACCCATAAGTTCTCTGTCCCAAACCTCCTAACTCAGCATGGTCAACACAAGACTCTTGAGAACTGGGCACCCCAGTGACCTCATGGCTGGCCGAGTCTGAGCGCAGGACAGTAGGCATGAGTGTTTATTTGTGTTAAGCAGGGTTGGTGGTGCCACCGTGACAGGATGTGGGGAGGCACGGGGCTTCTGGGGATGCCTGAAAGGGGAGAAGAGCGCCTCAGGAAGCCAAGGATCTGGGCTTATTTATCGTAGAAGTCAACATGAGCTCCAGACTCAAATATATCCTTTTGCAGCAAACTTAGCAGCTTCTGGGCTGACACCCTGCAATCCAGCAGCTCCCCCTTTGCCTTCAGCTCCTGCAGTGTTTTTCGCAAGTCTTCATCTACAGAGGTCTCTTGGGCCAACTGATACATGTCTGTGTCCAGGGGCCCTAAGGAATAAAGGGCAGAAGATGAAGGGAATAGCTGAGGCAGGGGCCCGGCTGTGTGTGTGAAGTGGGGTGGACTCGAGCCTGCCGAGGCAACAACTTCTCTTGGCTAACATGTGTGATCAGAGTCACCAAAGGCTCCACTTTGTCATGATTGAGCTCCAGGCTCACTCAAATTCCAGTGCCCACTGAATATGGGCCCTCCAGACCACCATATGTACAACAAGCCTACCATCTCCTGTCTAACCAGCGCCTCTTCCTGAGGTAAAGTCGGTGAACTGACAGCTACTTTCTACTTTTCATATAGGAACCACGGCACCCCAGAATTTGGAGTTAATGGGCTTCAGGGACAGAAAATAAAGGAATCTCAGGGTTGGAAAAATCAGCCTCCTGATCCTCAAATGTCTTTCAGCCACCTGTGCATCCTTGGTAAGTGCGGATTTGCTACCTTTCCAAACAGCTTATCCCCTTTTTGGACACCTGTTAGAACATTCTTTCAGAGATTGCAGTGAAACCATGATTGGTCTCAGCCTTCATTCAGGCCCTGGCAGCCTTGCAAAAAGTTCAACTTCCTCCTGCATCCCAGGCAGTCCCCTGAGATCTAGAGCAGTCACCTGGCATTCTGAAGTCTGCTCCACTCCTCGTTGTGGTTTTCATTTGCTCACTGCTGACTGAACAAATCCTAGGCTGAGCTCAGACCGGGTGCTGAGTTGAATGTTGGCTGGCAGAATAACTGTGCATGTCCTGGGAAGAAGTACTGGGGACTGGAGAGCATGAGGAAGTAGCCATGGCACTGATCATGAATTTGGAGACAAGGTTTGATCCTGGCTCTGACACACCTGGGCTTTGGTCAGGGCATTCTACCGCTTTGCCCCCAGGGTGCCAAGATGAATAGACTAGTGGGTCTCTAAGTTGCTCAGACATTATATAACAGCTGTCACCACCTTCTAATTGCAGCAACCTTAAGCCTAGAATAGAAGCTTTTAAGAGAGAAGCACAGCGGCATGATGGTAGGGTGGTTGGAAACCAGACCAAGCCTCGCAAGATCCCCTACCCTCTAACTTCTGTGTGGGCTCCATCTCATTTACTCAAGCACTGCCCCCTCGCCCTCCTCCCCGGCCCTGGCACCCGTGTTCCAGCACACTTGAGCCCCAAGGTGAATATCAGCATTACACAATGTCTGTGTGCTCTTGATTTAACTAACATTTTCTGTGGACTGACTCAAAGGGGCGCTTTGCTAGATGCTGGGGACATACAGGCAGAGTCCCTGCCCTCAAGGCTTTCCTGTCAAGAGAGGCAAGTACACATATGAAGTTAACTCAGCGTGGCAAATCTCACCTAACAATTAGAAGTGCTAACAATTAGAGAGCACTTCACAATTAGGGATTATTTTCACGTATACTACCTCATTCAGTCCTCCAAACTGCTCTGTGAGGCAGTTGGAATCATCTGTTTTACCTGAAGAAAAGGGGCACAGGTCTGAAACGCAAACCCTGACTGTCTCGCAAACTATAATAGCGTAGCCTTTCTGACCCCACCCTCCAGTTCAGGCGGCTCTCTGTCCCTGCCAGCTCTAACCTCCTTGGATCATGTATTTCCCTTAAGAAGTGATGTGTCAGGGGGCGATATATTTAGAGGGGACGGATGGAGGTACCTTGCCTGTCCCCCAGAAGGGAACCAGCTGGTTCTGGGGGACAGGGATGGCAGTAACACCCCACTTACCTGGGGCATAGCTGAGCACCCTCACACTAGGTTCCTCCTTGGCCAGGACCCGGAACATCATGTCACGGGCAGCCTTCCCTGAACAGTACAGTGCCCAGCCCTTCGTGGCTTCCAGTGCACAGAGGGACGAGATGTTAACCACAGTCCTGCTGAGGCCAGGACTGTCTGGGAAGGCCTTCAGGATGCTGGAAGTCAGGCAGAGCATAGATGTCAAGTTCAGAGCCCAGTAGCTGTTCACTTCAGCTGCGTCAGCTGTGTTAACGAAGCCTTTGGACACATCCCCAAGAGTACCTGAAAAACAAGTCCTTAAGAATCAGCCAGGGCAAGCTAGGTTTTCTCTTTCCCCAGCCCCCTCCAAATTCCTCGACAGCCCCTTCCCATCCAGACATCTAGGAGGAATGTCCCCAGTGCTTCTGAAGGCGCCTGTCTCTTGCCAGCTCTGCAGACACACACACCGGGGGCACCCACTCATCCCAAGTTGCAGCCTGAGAAGGCCCCGCTCTGGGATCGGGGGAGAACTCTGCAGCCCTTTGCAGAAGCAGAGACATTTACTTCTGCGGGGAGACCTCGTGCCCTGACTCAGGCCTCCGCCAGAGGGCGCGGAGCAATGCGCTCGGGAAAATTTCATAAGCGGTTTGGAAAACCTGGCCTTTAAAAGGAAAGGGCGGAGGGCAAAGGGCGCATGGAATGAGCACCAAGTCGTCCTCCCCATCTCGCTGAAACTAGGACCTTTCAGGCGTCTTCTCTAACTCCTAGCAGTCACCTTTAAAGTTCCAAGCGGTGAGGGCTGTGAGATTAAGGAGGGAAAGGGGCACTAAGTGAGTATTCCAAGCACTCACATGGGGAGTCCGTCTCCTGGCGACCGGCGTCTTACCTGCGTTGTTAATCAGCAGCACTCGCTGCAGCCCTTCGGGCCTGGGAAGCTGGCGCAGAGCGTCGAGAAGCCGCTGCAAGCCGGCCTCGGTGCCAAGGTCTGCGGGCACCCGCACCACGAACAGGCCGGCCCGCCCAGCGCCAAGCTCGGCCTCCAGCTGCTGCAGCGCCTCGTCGTTACGGGCGGTTAGAACCATCACGGAGCCGGGAGATAGCCGAGGGACCAGGAGCAGAGCCAGCACCCGACCAAAGCCGCGGGAGGCCCCGGTCAGCACGCACACGGCTCGGCCTAGGGAGTCCTCTTGGCGGCTGACGCCCTCCATGTCTTGAATTTTCGCCTCCTAACGCAGGAACCAGAAACCTAGCGGCGCGTAGGATCGGGAGGGGAATAGGCGAAGGCCCTGCCCTACGTGTGGGGGGAGGGGCGGGGGAGGAGCGAAAACCTAGGGCTTTGGGAGAAGTCCAACTGGACACTTGGGCACTCGTGTCCTCGTCCACAGGGGGCAGAAATGGAGGCACCTGCTCCCTAAGAGTCAGCGCGAAGAGACTAAACCAAAAGAGCCGGAAGGCGCGCCCTCCACGGGAAATCCTGGAATCCTAGCCTAGTTCGGAGCTGTACACTGCTGTATGTTCAGTTCCCCGCTGGGATGCGTTCTCCTCCAAGTCCAGACCCAAACTTGCACGAGTGACTTCCTCCTGCTCAGGCCATCTTGCTCCGTTACTAGCATACTTTTTTTTTTTAATCTTCACCCAGGGATATGTTTATTGATGTTAGAGATAAAGAGGAAGGGAGGGGGAGAGAGAAAGAAATATTGATGTGAGAAACATCCATTGGTTGCCTCCCCTACGCACCCCACCGGGATGGAACCCCGCAGCCTAGGTACATGCCCTGATCCGGATGAACCCGCAACTTTTTCTGGTATACCAGGCGTCACTCCAACCTACTGAGCCACCCTGCCAGGGCTGGCATCCGTTTTTAGCAAAAGCTCTGTATGAAGCCCATACCAGGTTAGGGCTTGGGGTCCCTACTGGCCTTGGGGAATTCGCCACCCTTAGGGTCAGAGGAGCACCTCAGGAAAAAACCACAGTGGCTCCTCTAAATGATGTAAAAACCTCCTCTTTTGCCTAAATTGGTGTGGCTCAGTCGATTGAGCGCCAGCCTGCAAACCAAAGGATCCCCGGTTTGATTCCCAGTGTAGGTCACATGCTTGAGTTGCAGGCCAGGTCCCCAGCAGGGGGCGCGTAAAATGCATCCACACATTGATGTTTCCCTTTCTCTTTTCCCCTCTCTAAAAAGAAATAAATAAAATCTTAAAAAACAAGCAAACAAAAAACCCTCTTCTTCTTTACCAGACTCTAAGCAACTTGGCGCTGACCCATATTTCTGACTCCTCCATTCCCTAAAGAGCTGTGTATCCCGGGACTCTGCATACTCTTATACTACACTCCTCCTAGTGGGCAATTGTGTCTACTCCCAGCTTCAAGTTTGCAGAGATGATCACCTAAGTCCTGTCCACATCTGTGCTTCAGAAAACGGCATTTATGTTTTTTTGTTTGTTTGTTTTTAAGGAGAGAGAGACGATGGGTAAGTTGGCTCCAAATCTCCTTCAAGGGAGCCTCTTCAGAGTTTAGCGCTAAGTCACCTCAGGAAGTCAGTCCAAGTCCCTATAGGACTGTTCCCTCTCCTGAAGGTAGACATCAAAGTTGCCTTTCAGAGCTCCTGGGAAAATGCATTTTTGCTTCCTTCTGCTGTGGGCTATCACAACCAACACCAAAACATTTTTCTTGGTGGTAGGGCTTTTCACTTGTGAACATGGGTGCCTTTACCACAAACATTTTGTAAAATGTGCAGTTCAGACTGTACATCTTTGTGGAATATATACTAATAACAAATGAGCCCTGGCTGGTGTGGCTTAGTTGGCTGGGGACATCATCCAATAAACAAAGTTCACGGGCTCGATTCTGGTCAGGGTATGTGCCTAGGCTGTGGGTTCGGTCCTGGTCAGGGCCTGAAGGACAGGCAACTGATAATTGTCTCTCTCTCACATTGATGTTTCTCTCCCTCCCCTCCGCTCTCTCTTAAAAAAAAAAAAAAAATCAATAAGCATGTCCTTAGGGAAGGATTTAAAAAACAAACTGAAACTGCAAAGAAATCTTAAACTTCATTGAGTAGATTATCATTAATATGTACAGTACTATTTTGAAATTATTTTATGTCAAGTAGGACAAAGAAAACAAGTATTATGCTAATATTGTTAGAGAAAAAAGATCAATTATGAATTTAAAAAGTTAAGGGAAAAATCTATAACATTGAATTTGAACTGAAAGCCAGAAAATTGTAGAGTTTATTGCAATCACTTTTACTTTTATACAACACCAAATGTCTCTTCCTCACATTTGGTACTCAGTATCTGTGACTACACTTTTGAATAGTTTTCCCTGCAGCAATGGCAGAGATTAAAGAGGTGCCCAGATAGAGTATACAGTTGTGTTTTGTTTGGGCCAAACAGGACTTCTCTTTTCTTTTTAAATTCAAAGTGACATTTCTAACGTGGGAGATTTTACACAATATCAGAATTTCTAGCTTCTTTTGAATAATGGGTGCATCTGGCAAATTGGGTGCAGACTGAGGTGAGCAGCAGCTGCCCCTTGGGAAGAAGATAATGTGCTCAGTTTGCCAAGACCCTCACCTCTCACAGGTGTAGACACTTTCCTACTCTTGATGCAAAGCTGAATTCTTATGCAGTGAGGAGAGTGCAAACGTTTAACAAGACAGGCATTGTATTGGATTGTGGAGAGGTGGGCTGAGAGAGAGCTGAGGAGGCTTTTGGTATTTTAACAAGGTGAGACTGCATGTATGTGTATGCCATTTGAAGCTGCCCTGATTTTCACTTATCTGATAAGAGTCAAAGATAAAGATCTTACAGGAAGTCTTCTCCAAAGCCAAATTCTTCTGTACTAGCCCAAGAGACTACTCTTTAAATAATTTTAGTAGCTTCTCCCTGCTCTCCAGGCCTCAGAAAACAGGTTGGTGAAAGCACAATCCCATTCATTCATTCATTTGAGATTTATCGAACTTCTTACCCTGTGTCAGGCATTGAAAAAAGGAGGGAACAATAAAGTGATGACTAAAAATCAGACCTAGCCTATTCTAAACTTAGCTGCTTCTCAGAGGAACTGTTTGGAAACAGTCCCCAAGGAGAGCGTAGTTTGCCTGGACTGCTAGAAAGCCTGGAAAACCCTTTTCTGAGGAGGAGGATGATCTACCCCTCCCCCCAATGCCAATCTTTGTTCAAGTTGTATTTCAGTAAATCGTGAGTAATATCTCAGAGACAACATTCTGTAGAATTCCTTTAACAGTAGTACAATGGTTTCCAAATTTGTCTGCACAATGGAGTCACTGGAGAAATTCAAAAATGCTGATGCCAGTGTCCTACAGGCCTGCACTTAAGAGTATTTTTAATTTATTTAAACAAAAAAAAGTTCATCCATTTCTCCCAACTGTCTTTTTCTGCCTCTTGCAACCACCAATCTGTTCTCTCTGTCTATGAGCCTGGGATTTTTTTTTTTTTCAGATTTCACATATATGAGAGATGACACAGTATTTGTCTTTCTCTGTCTGACTTATTTCACTTAGCATAATTCCCTCTAGGTCCATCCATGTTGATCCATGTTGTTGCAAATGGCAAGATTTCATTATTTTTTTATGGTTGAATTACATGTTTACACACACACATCATAATTTCTTTATTCGTCCATTCATCAGTGGACACTTAAGATGTTTTGATATCTTGGATATTTTAAATAATGCTGCAGTAAGCATGGGATGCATATATCTTTTCAAATTACTGTTTTTGTTTTCTTTGGATAAATACCAAGAAGTGGAATTGCTAGATCATAGGGTAGTTCTAAATATTTGGAAGAACCTCCATATTGTTTTCCACAGTGATTGCACTAAGTTACATTCCCATCAACAGTGCACAAGGGTTCCCCTTTCTGCACATCCTTTCTTTATATATTTTGGATATTAACCCTTTATCAACTATATCATTTGCAAACATTTTCTCCCATTCAATAGATTGCCTTTTCATTTTGTTTATGGTTTCCTTTACTGTGCAGAAAATTTTAGTTTAATGTAATTCACTTGTTTATTTTTGCTTTTGGTGTCAGGTTCAGAAAGGGAGTTTTATGGTTTTAGGCCTTGAGTTCAAGTCTTTAATCCATTTCAAGTTAATTTTTGTGGATAGTGTAACATAAGATTCAGTTTCATTGTCTAGCATGTGGTTGTCCAATTTTCTCAGCACCATTGATTGAAGAGACTCTCCTTTCTCCACTGTATATTTTTGTCTCCTTTGTCATAAATTAATTGAAAATATATGCGGGGGGTTTATTTTGGGCCCTGTATTGTGTTCCATCGATCTATATGTCTGTTTTTTATGCCAATACCATATTGTTTTAACCACTACAGCTTTGCAATATAGTTTGAAATCAGGAAGCATGATGCTTTCAACTTTGTTTTTCTTTTTAAAGAATTTTCTTTTGCTCTGACCAGGGTGGCTCAGCTGGTTGGGTGTCTTGCAAAGGGAAGCGTTTCTGCTTTGATTCCCAGTCACAGTGCATGCCTGGGCTGCAGGCCCAGTCTCCAGCTGGGGTATGTGGGAGAGACAGCTGATCCATGTTTCTCTCGCACATTGGTATTTCTCTCCCTCTCTTTCTCCCTCCCTTCCCTTTTCTCTAAAAATAAATAAATAAAGTTTTTAAACAAATTTTCTCTCGGGATTTTAAAAAGATTTCCAGGTGATTCCACTGTGTAAACTAGTTTGGGAACTACTGTCATAGCAATTAGCAGTAACATTTTTCTTTTTAAAGGTACACATGCCTGAAAGGTAAGAACTATATTAAAATAGATTTAAAAGCCTAAATCCGATAAAGGATATTAGAAGAAAAATTGATGAAATTTGAATAAAATCTGTAGATTAGTTATTGGTCTTATATCATTTCCTGACTTTGACCATTGAACTGTTGTTGTATAAGAGAATATCCTTTTTTTGTTTTTTGAAATACATCGAGGTATTTAGAGCCAAAGGGCATCTTATCTGCAACTTACTGTCAAATGTTTCAGAACAAAAATAGAATAAAATAAGTGTGGTAAAATGTTAACATTGAGGATATCTGGATTAAAGGTATGTAGGAGTTCTTAACATTATTTTTAAATCTTTTTAAAAGTCTGAAATGATTTCTAAATAGAAAAAAGTTTTAAAATTAACCATACCTCCCTGGCTGGTGTGGCTCAGTTGGTTGGAGCGTTGTTTTGTAGACCAAAAGGTCTTGGGTTTGATTCCTGGTCAGGGCACTTGCCCAGGCTGTGGGTT